TCCCACCCCCCCCCCCCCCCCGAAACGGTCCAGAAATCACACACGGATGACAATATGGTAGAGACCATTGAATTTGGGGGGAGCTGGTTACTCATAATTTGAACCACAGCTTCCTTCCTGAAACACTGACTAAGTTCAGAATGGCCTACTGCCATACTACTTGTATGCAAACTATGTTTGCAATACACAGCATATACAGTACATACGATTTTAATCTAATATGTTAATGTTATGAAATTTTGGCAAATAAAAATCAATTCTTTAAGGATTTGAGCTTTGTATTTAATAAATTACAAAGGCAAACTCTCTCACTCAGCTTTTCACTAACTTCCACTCGGCTCTTCACTGTGTTCATTCCATTTACTGACATTTAGCCAGTCACCAGAATCACTGGCGATCTTGAAGATAAATGGAGAAACCTGCAGAATGTTTTTTTTTTTTTTTTTTGCAAAGAAAAGGGCAGATTGTGTGAGACATCCTGTACCATTTTGTCACATTCTTGAAGAATGTAGACAAATATCACACTTAATGTGAGAATGCAGTTTATGTTTCAGCTGTTTGATCGCGCCAGCGCCTCACGCGCACACGAAGCTACTGCATTCATTGGAAACAGCGCATCCGTTCTCCGTGCCGTTCGGCGTGAGACCCGGTCCACTGTGGCATATTTTTGCTCATTAGGATATTTTTCCGTCGATACTGGAACATGCGTGAACTACAAACGCTTATTTTACCTAATAAGGCTAATAGTTTAGCTTCAGCTACATCGCGAATATGGACACATTTGGATTTGTGCCTGAGAGAAGTAAGCCCAACTTTACCTTACGTTTCTTTATAAATTAATTTGTTTTGGCATGTTTATTGCTAAGCATATATTATTATATACTGCAATTATATTTATCCATTAGAATTATATATTTTTAAATTCTTAGTCTGTTCTGATATGGTTATGAAAATGCAACTTATACGAGACGTATATTGTTTTTTTTCCTCAAAAAAATTTTTTTATTGTGTTTTAAAAAGCATGCAGCAAACGAAAATATGCGATTAATCTGTTAAAATGTGTTACTGTGGGTTTTTTTTTTTCTTTGCAAAGAAAAGGGCAGATTGTGTGAGACATCCTGTACCATTTTGTCACATTCTTGAAGAATGTAGACAAATATCACACTTAATGTGAGAATGCAGTGCTGAAAAATAAAAAATCCCCAACACACATCAAACACATCTTTATTCGCCCAGGTACAGTTCACTAATATAGTATATTACTAAATAGAAAAATATCCCAAATAGAAATGACTTTCAGACCATTTTTATGATTTTTTTTTCCAATACAGAAATTTTGAGACTAGCAAAAATGTGACAGACTTAGTGGTTAACAATTTTCTATATTATTCACTCAATGGAGTCCATTCACTTAATCACTGCTAAACTATTGTTTGTAAATTAACTTCAAAGTAGCTTATGAAACTTTATAGAATATCAGGAGGTTGCTCTCAGATGAACATATAAAACATATGAAGTCTTCTAGTGCACTAGTGAGGCTTTTATAAAGGTCAAAGCAACTGTAGACTAAGTGTGTATTTTCAGGTCATTTACATGGAATACAGGAGTCAGAGCTCTGACACAATGATGTATCCACATTTATGCACTGCCAAGTTGTTTACTGGCACGACTTTTTAAAAAGTCAAAGCATAAGCATAAAACACTTCATTAACAGTGGTGACAGTGTTTTTCCTAAATTTATCGATTGTGTACAGGAGGTATGTTAAAACTATATAAGCTCAAACGCTTATCTATCTATCTATCTGCTTTGATGTTGATGCTATTTCACTCTCATACGCTAGGTGGCACATAAGGAACCATTTCAGTTGAGAAAGCTTGTTCTGTGTGGAGTGAAAGCTAAAAAAAATAGTAGTAAGCACAATATAATACTATTCTTAATAATGAACTGTGTTCTATAGAGTTTATAGGTAGTACCGGCAAATCATGACATAATCGAAGTCATTAATTTTTCATTATTTTCACTTGAGTTTAATGGTAGTTTTAAAGCAACACACGAGGTATTAATACATATTCCAGCTCCTCAATTTGGACAATATGAACAACTCTGGACTTTCACCATCACCAATATCTTTCGTAATGGTATTTTCACAAACTCCATCAAGGCATCGACCCCATGCTGTCTCTTTATAAAGCCACGAGATGGCAGTGATGAGAAAGACAAAACCAAATGCATCGTCCAGGCGGCTTCAACCTGATTTCCCTCAGCAACGACCTTCTTATTCTGGGTCTACGAAATAATGACCGTATTTGCGCGCTTTTCTTTTGATAAGTGGTTATTGAAAACGCTTGCCAATTGCTACTGTTGTGTTGTTAGTTCTGCATTATCAGCTATAGCCTTCTGCTATGGAAGACTGTTTGTAACTATCCCTAAACCAAGTGACACTTTTCAAGGATAGACGTGACATGCGAAGGATCATCTTTTTTAAAACATGTTTTTGATGCTATAGGTGGTAAAGCGAGCTGGTTTGTAATCTGAGAAGCGTTCCCTGCAGATTGAGCATTATTTTGTCCATTACAGGTTTCTACATTAGACCGCTCTGACTGCCAATCCATTAAAGGGGTCATATGATGCGATTTCAAGTTTTCCTTTCTTCATATGACCCCTTTAAGACATTTACAGCTTAACTGCACAATCTCTGCAGACCATGGCAACGGTCACCCAGGCTGCATTTTCCACTATTTTTGTTTCATCCAGTTGCTACAGCTCTCTTCTGTGGAGGACAGAGGTAGCCTCGTCAGTCCATTTCATAACATTGCTATGAGGTTATGATTGTGCTTCAGGTAGTCAGTGATTCAGAGTATATTCTGTATGTGTAAATGACAACGAAAATTAATGGTCAAAAGCAAATGCTTCATTGGAGCAGAATGAATCTGTGAGCTTCATGATCCATCATCACTATGCTTAAAAGTCACCACCAATCAAATGCTGACTGTAGATTGATGCTTGACAGCCAGGGAATTAGGTGTCATTTTTTCTGCACCGGTTGAGAAATCCTTTTAAAAAAAGAAATAAGGTTAAGACAGCTGGTGGACAAACGTACATAATAGCTTTTTCTGTACTTGCAGACTGTGGGCCATTAAACGGCATACTCAAATTAGAGACCAAGAAGGTGCTGACTCTTAACACAGAAAAAGAGCAGAGTGGATGTTTTTTTTTCTTTTGAAAGGCCAGTCGGTATGATTTTAAAAGCACTGACTGTAAAATGAGTATGAATACCAGAGTAAGTGGGGATGAAATGTTAAAAGGGATTCAGTGATGCTTTATATCAGGATGTCCATCCATACTAATTTCTTTGTATATACATTACACATACATTGCTGATAGATTTATCTACACTATAAAAAAAAAAATTGTGTGTAATTATAAGCGAATACCCAAAATAAATACATATTTACTAGCTCTGCACTCTTAAAAATAAAGATTCTTTATTTTTATAATTGGTTCCGTGAAGAACATTAAGCATCCATGGAAACTTTCCATTCCACAAAAGATTTTTCAAAGTGGAAAAAATGTTCTTTAGATTTTTAAAATATTTTTCACATTAAGACTGTTCACTGAAAGGTTCTTTGGGCAACCAAATGGCTCCTCTGTGGCAGCACTTTATTTTAAGAGTGTGGTAAAGCTACTTTGAAACTGTAGCCTGCCAAGCTAAAATATCTATTGTGTATGTATATGTATAGTATGTATGTATTTTAATATGTATGTGTATTATTTAGGGAAGTTGCTTATAATTAAATTATTGTTGTTGATATTATAGTGTCCAGTATTAAATGGGCTGTGATCATTGGAGAAATAGATCGTTACTGGTACTGGTACTTCACTAAATGCTAGACTAATTGACTAAAAATATGCAACTTATGCTACTAGCTGAACTATTATCATGCTACTTTAAAAAGATTTTATTTATTTATTACTGTCCAG